TCGATAAAGTAGGATGCAAAAAAGCGTTAGCGAGTAAATCCTGTTTCGTGCAGAATTAATCGCCTCCTCATTTCTTGATCCAATCTCCAAGCAAGCGAGACGGAATGCACCTGTAAGCGCGTTCTTGTTTCCTACAAAACCTGTTTCTAAGGCCTTTTAAAAACATCGTTCCACTCTTTAAGTCAGAAAATGTGATCAAATGTGCGTTTATATGGGTACCCTTAGCAGCAGCACGGATGCACGATGGCTGCTGATGAGGGCGTTATAAAAGCAGTTGTAAATTTTTACCAAGATGATTCAGATGCGGTGTTTCTTGGTCTTTCTTACGATCTACGTCCATATATTCTTAAGGTACAAATTTTGATTGGCTTATTGGTTGGAAATGTTGGCCTCTGGCCAGTAAAAAGTTTGTGTGGAGGAGAGTAACACAAGACTTGAGAAATGGAGGGCTACTTGAAATCCTGTCAATTGCAAAACTGATAAAAAGTAACTTACTATTACATCAGTTTTTGAATTTAATGTTTAATTTACATTATATGTGCTCTTTTAGCTAAAAGTCGGATCAAAAATATACAAATAAGTTTCATAGTTAATTATTATTAATCATTTAACTGACAACTGACAAAAAGCCTAAAATTTTAACCAGTGGCGGATCTAGGGGAGAGGCCCAGGGGGCCCGGGTCCCCCGCCCTCTTATCTAAGGGTCTGAATGACCGGGGACCCCTTATCTCAACGTCTGGATCCGGTACTGTTAACTCACAACGGACATTTGTACCCATACCCTCTTTACAGTTAGTTGTCTCCTCGAGAAGTGCGATATTTTTAAAGTACAATTACTCTTCCACTGCATTTTACGTCAAAAGCCACTGTAATATGACCCTACTGGGACACTGTTAATGCAAGGCTTTGTGTTTCAAAAAAATTATGGTTTAAAGTTTCGTTCAGCTGAATCTTTCGTTCAAAGTCTCCATTGACAGTGTATATTGCTACTATCAGGAGGTGTGTCTCTCTTTCTTCACCAGCGACTACAACGTGTTCACCAACTGGGTGGCACGCAATGCGGTAATAGCGATCTCCTTGGATGTTGACACTGAAGTTGGCAAGATGAAGTCCATCTACATTGAACAAGTGACAGGATTGGTCTGAGTCCAACACCATAACTCGCCCATCTTTAGAAGCAGTGATTTCCTGTGCAGACTCGATTATCCCTTCACAAAACGAACCAACATAGCTACCGTTCCTGGCATGGCACTCAACCACTTTACGTCCCTTCAATATGAACACCTTGCTACCGCTAAAGGTTATTCTGTTGAAACCGCTCCCTTTCCCAACGGGAAACCTAAGCTGAAAGCCAAGAGTCTCGTTAAAGACTTCCACTTCAAACTTCTCTGGCGACGAGATTCTCGGTGACAACAACCAGTAGATAGATCGTATCATCCACGGATGAAATGGCGACATCATAGATGTACGAGGTAGTTTCAGATTGGGGTCTTACACTCATATGAAAATTCCCATTGCTATCGAACACTTTCAAGGTAAGATACCACGACGGCTACGGCCACGGCCAAGAAAACGTCGCTTAAATAGTGAATTTGCGTTCTTTCAATCTCTATCGTGATTACTACTACTAGTAATATTTAATAATTATATGGCGCATTTTCTAAAAAAAAATAATCAAATGCGCATAACTCGAACTCGTTTACTTTGTGAAATGCAAGCAAACTCTTTTTGAGCCGAACTCGTAAGAATCATATTCAAGTTCAGAAAGAGACAGAAAATTTAGCCGTCGCTTGTTTACGTCCTCCATAAAACGTGAAATTAGGCATTTTCCTGTTGTAGTCGCGCAGTGACGGTAATGAAATTGTCCAAACAAGCGAGATGCACGTGGAGAGTTGTTGTTTTGCTTATTCAATCAATTGCTTTTTTGACGTTCTCGTTGTCGTCGCCGTCGTGGCATCTTAAAGTCCCTCGTTTCATGCAGTGCGCTATTCAAGGCCTTCCTCAACCTCACCAAATGTAAGCAGAGAATCTGGTTTCTGGAATCCGGGAAATTTTTGTTTGTGGAATCCGCAATCCTGGGATTCTGAATCCAGAATACAGCTCAAGAATCCGGAAGCGCACTAAATCGCACTTGGAATACAGAATCCAAGTTCCACTGACAAAGACTGGAATCCGGAGTCGGCGGCGTGGAATCCAGAATCCAGGACTGTCTTGGAGTCCTTTACATGGAGCGATCAACCTTATTAAAAAGAAAAGACGGACCATTGCCATCAAGGAACATAAGATTGGAAAGCCAAACGTGAAGGGCAATATGTGTGAGCGTAACTTAGCTGAATGCAATGGCTAAGCGAAAACGATAATGAGAAATTGTATATTCACATGTGTTAATAAAACTCTACTTTTTACACCCTAGAAACTGCCCGCTCATAGCGGTTGATTATTTTCCTGTGAGTTGTGGCAACTAATTGGTTCGTATGTATATCTTTTGCTTATTAGCCAATCACAGGACTCCATTTTCTGATATATTAACATTTTATTACCTTGTTTTTGCATTATATTTCCTCGTTTTTTCTCTGTGTTTACTAAAACTGCATTGCTCTCTGCCAATCTTCAGATTCAAGATTTTTTTTCATGTCTATTATGATGATGAAAAACGGGTTACATTTAAATAATTCCCTATGCTTAAACGAACGTAAAGCATTTTTTTCTCTTTAATTCTCATGTCGTAAACTAACTGACCATAGCCATTTTTTGAACATGTGTATACTGCTCAGACTTCGTGGTTGCGATGAGACGATTAGTAGTACATTAATACTACGTATACTGACCATGTGAGCGCGTCAGTTAAACCTCTGGCAATTGAACAAACCATTTTTAATCAATTTGAATTTTTGTTGACAGTTTAGCTCGTTTTCTACAAGACAATTGTACTATTGGTTTTGCCAATATATTAAAAAAAGGTTGCTTGAACGTAGTTGCTTCGGAGAAAAGTCATGGTAATGACAAACTACCAAGCAATTAGAGAACTGTATTGTTCTGCAAAATTCCCTGGAGAGTCGAGGAGTAGGTACATGACGGGCTAATTTTTTTCTAAGACCCTGTTTACATGGAGTGGGGGACCCCGGTCTAGTGGGGTAGGTTTCTTTTGTTTTGTGTCCCTCAGAGCGTGAAAACAAAAGAAACCAACCCCACTAGACCGGGGTCCCCCACTCCATGTAAACAGGCCCTAAGACAAAGGAGGACAGCTAAATATGATGGTGAATGATGGTGCAAGTTCCATGTTAATATTTTGGGTTCACTATACTCAATCGAAATGAATATCAACATGGCGTTTTTAATTTTAAATATTAATCTACCTTTCGTATAACAGATCCGAATTGGACGCGCCGGGAGATGATGTGAATGGGGGAAATAAAAAACAATTTAAATAATGAAGATATAATCTTGACGTGGTGAAATAGCAATTTTAAGCAATTGCAAATAAACCGCCCAAAATGTTAAAGTTATAGCCCACACAGTCTGACATGTTTAGGGAATAAATGTGATATATTATGATATTTTGAAGCGTTTACCAGTAACTGCAAAACATATTTTAATCAGCACTGCTTTAGTTTGTTTCCAACAGCTTTTTCCAATCCCGTTATAATCTCCCTCGGATATAAGCCCCTCCGTTTAATTCATAAGCCCTTCTAAAACCCATTACAAAGATGTATAATCCCAGGCTTTTTTAAGCGGCAGTTTACGGCACTGCATATCATATGCTCGGCTCACAAACTTAACACCTCCTTTGGCGAAATTTTCTCGCTCTTGCTCACAGCTAATCGTCGAATTCCATATTTTTTTTTCGTAATTATTAATATGATAAAAACAGGTTACATTCTAATTTCGTAAGTTCGAACAAACGTATTACTTTCTTTAATTCCCATCTCGTAACTGATCCAGACTTTAGAGCCCATTATTTGAACATTTGTACATCGTTACTTAGACTTAAGTGCCTGCGATAACCCTATGAGCGGGTCAGTTTAACTTCTGACAATTGACGAAAACCGTTTTTTAGGATGCTAGGATGCTGCGAAAAACTTTAAACATCCACTGGAGCAGCCACATACCAAACCAACAACTGTACGGAGATCTACCAGCAGTCAGCAACAAAATCGCCTCTCGTAGGCTACAACTTGCGGGACACTGTTATCGCCATCCAGAGCTAAGCACCCAGAAATTAGTCCTATGGGAGTCCACACATGGTCATCGCGGGAGAGGAAGACCGAATACTACCTATATTGACACTCTTAAGAGGGATACTGGAGCACTCGAAGCAAGTGAGATTGCTGTACTGATGGCTGATAAGAGGCTGTGGAAAGATCTAGTGGTTGCCCGCCTTCGGGCGACCAAGTGAGTGTGTGAGTGAGTGAGTTTTTTACTCAATTTGAATATATGCTTAACAGAACTATCGATCATGACTTGGATCATGGACTTTCATTACTAGCTGTTTACCTCGTTTTCTAAAAGCCAGCCAATTGCCTTATTTGCTCCCTAATGGCACGGCAACACAAAGGCAACACCAACAAGATTGTCGATTGTCATATAAGGAGGACAGATGTATTAAAAAAAGAGTTCAGTTGACTGTAACCGAATCGCAGAAAAGTCATGGAAATGAAAAATTTTACTGGAGGTGAAAACCTGCAAACAGCTGTAGAATTCTTCTGCTCTGCAGAATTTACTGGAGAGGTACTTGGCGAGCTCATTTTTCTCTCTGTCGTTAACACTTGTTTGTCCATTACAGCATTTTTAGGGAACGCTCTGATCCTAGTTGCCCTTCACAAGACACATCAATTCATCCGCCATCCAAACTCCTTTATCGTAACCTTGCGATAACTGATCTTTGTGTTGGTATCATGGGGGAGCCTCTGTACGTTGCTTGTATGATTTCTGTGGAGAACAAAAGATGGGGTATATGCTATTACGCATCTTTGACAGTATATTTCGCAGGTGTTACATTGTGTGGAGTTTCGAATTGATAACACTGACTGCAATAAGCGTGGACAGATATCTCGCTTTGCTACTGGGTCTCAGATACAGACAAGTTGTAACTTTGAAAAGAACATATTTAATTGCTATTGTTGGTTGGATTCTGTCCATTGTCGGTGCATCTATCTCCTTTCTTAATCTTCTTATGCTTTCATTGTACCAATATATTGCTACAGCTTTTTGTTTAGTTTACTACAATCTGTGCCAACATAAAAATTTTCATGTCTCTGCGTGATAACCAAATTCATGGTCAGAACCATGTTGTTCAAGGACAATCGAGCAAAGAAAATGCACTGAATATAGCTCGATACAGAAAGGCAGTATACAGTGCACTGTGGGTGCAGGTAACATTGGTTATTTGTTATCTGCCGTACAGTATAACTGTAGCTTTCAGAACACGTCAAGGGGGGATGCTTATATCTACTTACCTTGCTAGGGAATTTACAGCTACTTTAGTTTTTTTAAACTCGTCGTTAAACCCGTTTCTGTACTGCTGGAAGATCACAGAAGTGAGACAAGCTGTAAAACAAACATTACAACTACACTTCTGTACCAACTAAGACTTGGACTAAGACTTATGGCATTAAGACTACCAGTTGTAAAAAGTCCTCCAGAAAATATAGTTTTAGCTTGTCAAAGGAACATTTACTAACAAACCATTGCCATCAAGGAACATAAGATTTGAAAGCCAAACGAGAAGGGCAAAATGTGTGAGCGTAACTGAACTGAATGCAATGGTCAAGCGAAAACGATAATGAGAAAGTGTGTATTCACATGTGTTAATAAAACTCTACTTTTAGTACATCCTAGAAACTGCCAGCTAAAACCGGTTGATTATTTTCCTGTGATTTGTGGTTCTTATGTATATCTTTTGGTCATTAGCCAATCACTGGACTCCATTCTATGATATATAATATTATATTTACATTTTATTACCTTGTTTTTGCATTACATTTCCTCGTTTTTGCTCTGTGTTTAATAAAACTACATTGCTCTCAGTCAATCCTCAGATTCAAGAATTTTTTTTCATGTCTATTATTATGATCAAAAACAGGTTACATTCTAATTCCTTAAGCTCAAAAAAAAGTAAAGCATTTTTTCTCTTTAATTCTCATCTCGTAAGTATGGTACAAACTGACCCAGACATAATTTAGCCCATTTTTTGAACATGTGTATAACTGTTGAGACTTTATTTCTGGCTGCGATGAGACGATTAGTAGTACATTAATAATCCGCTGACCCTATGAGCGCGTGTATCACTGATCATGACAGTTTAGCTCGTTTTTTAAACACCAGACAATTGTGTTATTTGTTTTACCAATTGCACGGCAGCAACAAGATTGCAAATAACTCTGATCGGTTGTCGTTTAATAAAATGAAAATACAGCCCACGTATTACGTCACGTATTTAATTGGTTTTTGACATGATGAAGCCATCATATAAGAAAAACAGATCTACTGTATTAAAAAAAAGGTTCTCTTGACCGTATTTGCTTCGGAGAAAAGTCAAGGTAATGACAAACTACCAAGCAATTAGAGAACTGTATTGTTCTACAAAATTCACTGGAGAGTCGAGGAGAGGTACATGACGAGCTAATTTTTCTCTAAGACAAAAGAGGACAGCTAAATATGATGGTGAATGATGGTGCAAGTTCCATGTTAATATTTTGGGTTCACTATACTCAATCGAAATGAACGTCACCATGGCGTTTTTAATTTTAAATATTTTACCTTTCATATAACAGATCCGAATTGGACGCACCGGGAGATGGTGTGAACGGTGGAATTAAATTAAAAAACAATTTAAATGAAGATATAATCTTGACGTGGTGAAATAGCAATATAAGCAATTGGGAATAAACGGCCCAAAATGTAAAAGTTATAGCCCACGAATCGAAGTTTGACATGTTTGGGAATATCATACTCGGTTAAGATTTCCTGGTCTAAGAAAATGTAGCGAAATTGCTGCTGGTATCCATGTGAAAGTCAGTCAAAGCTGATTATTGAAAAACGGCACAAGCAATTTGAAGCTACAAAATATAGAAACGCTTAAAAGCCCCCAACTTTAATATGAACCCCACCAGTAATAGGCCCATTAACCCTTTAAGTCCCAATAGTGACCAATAGCAATTTTCTCCTAACGATATCCATACATTGTCATGAGATGAGGTTATCAGAATTAATAAAATGATCACCTAAGAGAAAATACTTTGATCTTTTATCCAATTCTCTCAACTAATTCTTAAAGGAAATGTATATAGACCAGTTTGGAGAATTTGTATGTGGATATTGAGGCTTAAAGGGTTAACCTGAAACAACAAAAAAAACCTGCTATGATTGTATGTCCCTCCCCCACAACATAAGCTCCCCTCTAAATTGTATTGACATGAATTCGATTATTATGATGTTTTGAAGCTGAATTAAACGCCAGTAAATGAAAAACGCATTTTAAATCAGCACTGCTTTAGCTTGTTTTGAAGGGCTTTTTCCATTCCGGTTATAAGCCGCTCCATTTAGAAGCCCTCCTGACCCCTTACGAAGATGTATAATCCCAGGGCAGGAGCCCATTTGATGGGCTCTGTTAGTTATAAACGGCAGTTTACGGCACCGCAAATCATATGCTCGGCTCACAAACTTAACACTTCCGTTAGCAAAATTTTCTCGTTCTTGCTTTGTGTTTACTAAAACTGCATTGCTCTCAGCCAATGATCAGTTTCAAGAATTTTTTCACGTTTATTATATTTGTAGTAATAACACGTTACATTCTAATTGCCGAAGCTCGACGGAATGTAAAAAAATGATTCTCTTTAATTCCCATCTCGTAACCGACCCAGACTTTATAGCTCATTTTTTGAACATTTGTACACGGTTACTGAGACGTTAGTGCCTGCGATGACCCTATGAGAGCGTCAGTTTGACTTCTGGCAACTGACGAAAACCGTTTTCTACTCAATTTGAATATATGTTTAACAGAACTATCGATCAAGACTTGGTTAATCGACTTTTTATTTCTAACAGTTTCACTCGTTTTCTAAAAGACAGGCAATTGTGCTATTTGCTTCCCTTATCGCACGGCAACACCAAGATTGTCGAATTCTATCGTTTAATAAACTTAAAATACAGAGCAAATATTTTAAATTGTTTGTTCAAAAGGTCACATGTGTAGCAGTCATATAAGGAGACAGATGTATTAAAACACAGTTGGGTTGACTGTAGCCGCATCGCAGAGAAGTAAGCTAAGGTGGCCCAAAAGTGTCACGGCAATTTCAATTTTACTTACCGGCAATTTCAATTTTACTTACCGGCAATTTCAATTTGTTCTCGGTAATTTCAATTTACTCACCACGATTTCAATTTGCTCACAACAACCATTTCAATTTATTTACGGCAATTTCAATTTACTCGCGGCAATTTCAATTTTGCTCACGGCAATTTCAATTTACTCACACCAATTTCTACTTTTTCGCGGCAACGCTCACGGCATTTTTCGCTTAGCTCACCACCTGTCTACTACGGCGGTCGACAGTGGCCACCAAAAGTCAAAACGCAAAATCAAAAGTCGATACTTTTAAGTATCGACTTTAAAAAGTAGATCTTCAAAGTGAAAAGTGAAAATCAAACATCAAAAGTCGATTCACGAACACTTATGCCAGTAGACAGTGAGACGACAACGGAAGAGTTTACTGCTCCCAGAAAATTATAAGCTTTATCTAGCACTCACCTGGTGGCCGGTTAATATTTACTGCACAGCATCTCAAAATGGTGCAATCCCTCACATTTATCCAAGCATTGAAGCTACTTCTAAGGCTTGTTTACTGATGTTATTGGTAACAGTGTTCCTATTTTTGCTAAGAAAAAGCAAAAATGGTGGAGCCAAACGAAGAAACATGCTACTTATGGACCCGGTCTGAGATTCGTTATTTTGTTTTACATTAGAACGGTACGGTTTCAGACCCGTACGAAAGTAACTCGGGTCGGGTATGTATGGAGACCGATATAAACTCATACCGGTCTGAGTTCGTCCCAGTCGGCCGCTGTAGTTGACAGGTGGTGAGCGAAGCGAAAAATGCCTTGAGCGTTGCCGTGAGTAAATTGACATTGCCATGAGTCAAATTGAATTGAAATTGCCGTGAGTAAATTGAAATTGCCGTGAGTCAAATTGAAATTGCCGTGACACTTTTGGGCCACCGTAGAAAAGTCATGGAAATGAAAAATTTTACTGGAGGTGAAAACTTGCAGACATATGCAGAACTTTACTGCTCTGTGGAAATTACCGGACAGGTACATGGGCAGCTCATTTTTCTCTCTGTCATCAACATTTTTTTGTCAATTACAGCATTTTTGGGGAATACTCTGATCCTAGTTGCCCTTCACAAGGACACATCAATTCATCCACCATCCAAACTCCTCTACCGTAACCTAGCGATAACTGATCTTTGTGTTGGTATCATTGTCGAGCCCCTGAATGTTGCTCATTGGACATCTGGGGTGAACAAAAGATGGGATATTTAATTTGCTATTACACATATTTGACAGCACATTTCGCAGCTGTTGCTTTGTGTTCAGTGTCGTTGATAACACTGACTGCAATAAGTGTGGACAGACTTCTCGCTTTGCTACTGGGTTTCAGGTACAGACAAGTTGTAACTTTGAGAAGAACATGTTTAATTGCTATTGTTGGTTGGATTGTGTCCATTGTCGGTTCATCTACATCCTTTCTGAATCTTCTTATAGTTTCATTGTACAATTATATTGCTTCAGCTTTTTGTTTAGTTACTACAACCTGTGCCTACACAAAAATTTTCATGTCTCTGCGCCATAACCAAATTCGTGGTCAGAACCATGTTCCTCAATCGAGCCAAGCAAATACACTGAATAAAGCTCGATACAGAAAGGCAGTGTACAGTGCACTGTGGGTGCAGGTAACATTGGTTATTTGTTATCTTCCGTACGGTATAGCCGTAGCTTTAACAATTCAAAGGGGAATGTCTTTATCTACTTACCTTGCTTTGCAATTTACAGCTACTTTAGTGTGTTTAAACTCGTCGGTAAATCCGTTGCTGTACTGCTGGAAGATCACAGGAGTGAGACAAGCTGTCAAAGAAACATTACAACTACACTTCTGTATCAACTAAAACTTAGACTAAGACTTATGGCATTAAGACTACCAGTTGTAAACCGCCGTCCAGAAAGTGTAGTTTTGGCTTGCTAAAGGAACATTTACTAACGAACTTCATAGGACACTGTAAAATATGAAAGAAAATAAATAATATGGGTACTGTACTTCCCTTAAGCTTTAAAATTAGAACTTTCATTCTTTTTTTATAAGCTTGTAAAACCACACCTTGCTTGTCATTTATTTTTCGCCAAATTCAAATACAAAATGTATCTCAAACATAAAAGAAGAGCTTTCATGGCTTTTGAAATGGAGAGCAGCCCAGACGTAATACACTTGATAATATTACAAACAAAAAAACCGAGGGGATTGACCTTAATCCCCTCTCATTTTTAAGTTTCAAGAGTTAACCATAGCTCGACTTAGAAAACCAGACAAATGTCCTGTATCTTTCCGAATTGAACCATTAAGATTGTTTTCTCATGTCTCATTGCAGGTTAAAAGACAAAAACAAAACTCATTAGGATAGATAAGCGTCCCCCCCCCCCTACCCCGCTCCCCGAAAAACCCTTCGGGGAGGAAGAAAGACCGGACCAGGGAAACGGCGGAAATTGAGCCCACAAACTCATTTGTTTATGTTAAACATACAAGTTAATAATCAGAGTCATCTGAATACAAAATGAAAATATTACTCAGTAGTTAGCGAATTAGTTACCTGACAATGAAGACCCAATGAAGACTATCAATAAGTTACAGAAAGAGAACAGCTCATTTGAACTCAGTTACCTCAAAGAGACACCAGCCAGAAAACCGTCAGAGAATTGTACTGTAATTTACATGGTTTCTCAGTCTTACATGCACAAGTGAAAATGTTCACTGGAAGTGTACTTGTGCTGTTCACTAGTGTATCATTAAAATAAATGTTCACTGGAAGTGTACGTGTGTTGCTCACCAGAGTATCATTAAAATTAAAAATAAATTTAAAACACAGGAGCATAAATAGTCATAGAGGGTCAGAATTAAGCCTCGTTGGTGTCGAGTAAGTGTCGAGTAAGGTCGAGGTAAATCATTGATATGCATAAGGGTCGAGTTTATGACGTCACCCATTGTTATAACCTAGGGAAAATAGGTTGGGAAAAAGTGCCTTCCTGCCGAATAATTAAGTGTCCTGTCAGTGTCTTTCTGCATACTAGTTTAGTGCCTTTTTGCATAGTCTTGTCCGAGCGACTATATAAGACATACACCATGCATTCATCATCTTCTTCAAGACAAGACACACAGGTCTCATCATGGCCTCATTAAACGTGCTCGTCAAACTCCTTCCCTCCTCACCCTTTCGCCTTTCCCGTTGTTTCTTCATTGGCGTTCGCCGCTTTCCATCTTCCTCAATTTCTTGGGCTATGCTCGCGTAAGTATCTTGTTTTGCAACCTAGATTTTATAGGTTGCCACGTGTTCGACATTAATTCGGTCCGTCACATATATTTTCAAGGTCAGTATTCTCTGCACTTTTTCTCTTTTATTTGCAGTATTTTCTAAGTTTTATTCTTTGCTTTGGTTGTATTTCTTTCTAATCCTTTCCTTGTTATTCTTTTTCTGCAGCCGCTCCCGGGATTTCAGTCTTACAAGGGAGTCTAATTCCCTGTCGGATTACCGGTGGGTATTTTGGCTGCTACCCCTCGAGCCCTGTCTTTTCCTATATTGTCCTCACAGTACTAGTTATCTTTCAGGTTGCAATTCCTTAGTTAAGTAAGTTAAGTAAGTCTGGCCACGGTATGGCCAAACCAGCACTGATGGAAGTGGACAATCACGACAATGTGGTAGACATCATAAATTGTGTGGCTCTGTATTACGAAAAAGGTGCCAGTGGGAATGCGTTTCTTCCGAAAGAAATATTTAGAGCTCTTGTTTCAAGGCAAGTGAAGACCTTGAAAGTCGTGAAAGAACCAGTCAAGGTGAATCAACCTGAGTTTTAGAGTTCAAGAGAACTCAAGAGAGGTGTGAGTTTCAACGACCACAATATCCATGTATATACAGGAACCTGGAATATCAATGGACTTTGTGCCCTGCGCTACGGTAGGGTACGGTAGGGTAGGGTAGCCACTTTGGATGGAGAAGCAAACTTCCTGCTTGGAAGGGTGTCCGCATTTGGTCGTGCTATTCGATTCAATAACAGGTTTATCTTTTCATAAAAGATACCATTTTCTCAGTCTTTACAACCTGTGTGTTTATATACATTTTCCTACACTCCACATAAACAAATGACAGAATTGGCTTCATCGCCTGATGGAAACTAGCAGCAAAGCAGTCGAATCATCGTGAGACAGACAGATAACATCAAACTACCTAACTCTAAAAATACAGGACTTAAAATATCGAAGTAAAAATGTACCGATGCGCGGACGTAAGCAAAACAGAAAATAAAGTTACGGTCGCTTGTTGTGATGTTGAGAACCTTGACCATCAAAACTGACAATTGTTAGAAGGTAAGTCTTATATAACGTCTATTTCAATAACCAAGCAAAAAATCTCGTAAAAAAAATGGGGCGGGATCGGGATTCAGAAGAAAAAAAGGCGGGAAAGCGGGATTTGAGAACCCCTATTGTGGACCCTCTTACAAGGGAGTCTAAAGGGCGATACGCACGGGGGGTTTTGCTCCCGAAGTTCGCTCAATATGCCCCGGGAGCATGCTCCCAAATATTAAACCGGTTAAATATCGTGAGCATTTTGCGGGGTGGAAATTCTGCTCCCAAGGCTGAAGTATACCCATGAAATCGTTGGTACACACGGAGGAGCTTTGCTCCCGGGAAGTGCCCCTGGAGCATGCTCCGGGAGCAAAATCCCTCGTGTGTACCGGTCTTTAATTCCCTGTCGGATTACCGGTGTGTGTATTTGGCTGCTACCCCGTGAGCCGCGTCTTTTCCTATATTGTCCTCACAGTACCACTTTATCTTTCACGTTGCAATTCCTTAGTTTCATCGATCATTTCCTTCTGATGGATCCCGTGAGAGGTACATTCGTTGGCTTCGGTTTTTCTCCAATCTTATTGAGCGGCTCTAGCGGGATAGCAGTCAGTTCTTGTTCAGTTCTCGCAATATGTCCGCGATTTCTTATTTCTGCATGCGGGGTTTTCAGTTTTTTCGTTTCATATGCCTATTTTGTCTTACGCTATTTAGTCTTCGCGCTTCCGATTGTCCTAGTATTATTCATGCAGAGTCAGTACATGAATTTGCTTTACTTGCATGCATTCCCGTTGGGTTTTTTAAGGCACGTGTTATTATCAGGGGCACCCAACGGCAATTTTCGGGAAAATATCTGTTCGGAAGACGATTTGAGAACTAGAATTTTCGGAACATTTGTTGTAAAATTTCTTGCTTGCCTGCCTCTCCTAGGATTTTCGAACATCTACAAAATGGTATAATTACCCATTTTAAACGGGTATTTACCCTAAAGAAGGCAACCTAGAATGTTCGGGAGCCTTTTCCTGGCTAAAATTTTCGAAAAGGTAAGTTTTGATCCCTATAATTTTCGGATCACTAGACTTTCAGCTAGGAAATCCGAACAGATGAAAAGTTTTTAGGGGATAAAAATATGCCTATGTCTACCGTTCAAATACTAAAATACGTTCAACAATGCTTTGTAAGTGGTTTTGAACTATATGCTCGTTGGGTGCCCCTGTTATTATAAATGGCTGCATTTTCATGTCTGAGCTATTGTTTGGCTTATGCTTTCGTTTTTGTTTTAAGCAAAACCCACAGGTTTTTGTTCTAAATAAATGTGTTTTGTGACTCCAGAGCAGAAGTTGTTTTACGGCAATCTTTTCTTTCCTGACTCTGTCAATAACATCGCAGACAAAATGGCGAGGACAAATAAACACGCATTAAGAAAAGTAGCAGGTGTTTATACCGAAAGAACCGTCACGTTATTATTAAAACTATCCGTCATTAGTTCAGTTAGGTAGAATAATAACACTTTCTCTTAAATATTGCTTTTTCAAAATTGAATACTAAGATTTTAGCGTCCAGGCAATATACGCGTCAGTCAAACTCGTAAATGGAGCCTCTAAGGTGAGCCAAACAAGTGATAAATAAGTAAATACTGCGCACTTAGTTAATATTAGTTTCTGATAATAAAAGGTAAAACAGTTAAGGAGAGCCCCATATCGGTATATTTATATAGCACGCACTTCCACGTAGTTGCATCGCAGACAAAATGACACTGAAGTTACTGAAGGTGAAAACCAGAAAACAATCGTAGTACTATATTGCTCTGCGGAATTTACTGCAGAGGTACAAGGCGAACTGATCTTTCTGTAAACATCTTTCTGTCGATTACAGCAGTTCTGGGAAACACTCTGATCCTAGTTGCTTTACATAAAGAAACTTCACTTCACCCGCCGTCCAAACTCCTGTATCGTGCTTCGTAGTCTTCATTGCCAGAAAACTAATTAGCCAGCTGACTAGTTTTAGTGATATTTTAATTTTGTTTTATGATTATTAAACTTTTTAACATAAACAAATAATTTTGTTTGTGTCTTTACAATCTGCAGTGAAACAGAAAAAAATCTTAAAGGTGCAATTCGGACTAGGACATTTGAATGTCTGGTATTCTTATATATAGTTTCTTATCACGTTCGTTAGTAAATGTTCATAGTCTAAGTCTTAGATGATACAGAAGTGCAGTTGTTCTAAAGTTTCTTTTACAGCTTGTCTCACTTCTGTGATCTTCCAGCAGTACAGAAACGGGTTTAACGACGAGTTTAAAAACAGTAAAGTACCTGTAAATTGTCTAGCAAGGTAAGTAGATAAAAGCATCCCCCTTTGAGGTGTTAAAGCCACAGCTATACTGTACGGCAGAT